GGGGGGGGGGGGGGGGGTAGAACCCCAAAGACAAACAGCAACTACTCACTACAACTACTCCCAAATTTTGGTTTTAATTCTCTTTTTTTGTGTGTGGTTAATATCTGTCTCTGTAATCTTTGTGCAGGTTAAGTTGAGCATACAGGTACCACCAGAGGTCTGTGATGACTGTTACAAAAGGGTTATAGACGAGTTCATGAAGCAAGCCAAGGTTTTTTTTGTGCTATATTTCTTCTGCATTGTTTTTATTTAGCTTGTGAGGAGTTAAAGTTCAATTTGATGGACTTTTTTTTTGGGTTTTTCAATGCCCCCAGGTTCCGGGATTTCGGCCTGGAAAGAAGGTGCCTGAGAGTATTCTTGTGAGTCATGTTGGGAAGAAAAGTGTACAGAAGGCTGCAGTTGAATCTATTTTGAGGAGGACCCTTCCACATGCCATGTCTTCGGTATGTTAGGACTGTTGTGAATTACTTTTTGTTAAAACATATAGTTGCCTAAATTCTTGTAATTGCAAGTTCATTCGCTTATTTGGCAATGGCTTCAGAGTTACAATGTTGCAGCATTTTTACAATCATAACCCCTTAGAACATATAACAAGAACAGCGTTTATTTCTTATGAAAGAACCTAATGAAATGGTACTGCAAATGTCTAACAAAACCCCCTTTAGCATTCTGGAGTTCTCAACTGAAGGTTGACCTGTTCTTATTTTACAGGTCACTGGCACGCCCTTGAGAGACTCGGTCCGTATTGTAACCAGATTTTCAGATATGGAGCAGGCCTATTCTTCTCTCAATTCTCTCAGGTTGATAGTTCAGATATTTTTCGAGTTACATTTTCACTTGCTATTTGATATTCCTAATTATTTCCACCTCAAAGAACCGTATTACATGCAACATCTCCCCTCACAGTTTGTTAAGAGGAGATGCATGTATTAAAGGAAATTTGATCATGTCAACCAGTATTTGTCTTCCGATTAGATCAATAATATCATGCTCATCAGTTTGACTTGTACTCCAGATACGATGTGATTGTTGATATAGCACCGGAAGTGAAATGGATTCCTGAGAATGGATACAAGAATTTGAAGGTCGTTGTTGAGATAGACAGTGATATAGATGCACAAAAAGCTTCTGAGCAAGAATTAAGACGCCGCCATAAGTCCCTAGGTTCATTGAGAATTGTAACCGACAGAGGTCTACAGGTGAGTCAAGTTCAAGTTACTTTTGTTTTTTGTTTTTGATATTTATTATGTGAAAAATATTTACTTGTTTGATATGTTTGCTGGGATAAATGCTTAAAAGTTATCATTTGGATTCTATTCAACATCTGAAAGACTTCAATACTGTCGCTTGGATTAGAGTATCATATTTGTTGAGTTTCAGTTTAGCCTTCAAACCAAGTTCCTTGCATCTCCTACTTGTTGTATGATGTTTGTAACTTACAAAGTTGAGACTCCTACAGATTGGTGATCTTGCTGTCCTTGATATATCCGCAACAACCATAGATCAAGATGAATCAAATGTTAAAAGTATTCCATCCGCTGAGAGTAAAGGTGTGCCAATATGCACTTAATCTTCTGCAGTTCTGTTAATGATAATTCTTTTGTTCGTCCAAGTGATGAATTTTTATTGCAGAGGCATCTCTCAACTTTATTTTCCATGTGAAGGTTATCATTTTGATACGGAAGATGGTGATAAAGTAGTTCCTGGTTTCCTGGATTCGATAATTGGAATTCAACGAGGTGAAACAAAGTCCTTTCCACTGGTATTTCCTGAATCATGGACACAAGAAGATCTTCAAGGAATTCGTGCTCAATTCAATGTGAGCGCTACCCTGTTTTCTGGAAGTCCTCATGGTTTACCAAAATAACTTACAAGAAACAATAGGCATCTGTATAAATCTTTTCTTCTTTTACTGTTGAACTGGCCCCTCAGTTTGCAACCTCATGGAAATCTGATTATCCCCAATATTCTAAGCTAAACAAATTATAATAATAAAATATTTTATCTTATTTTATTGGTTGTCTTGATTTCTGTCCAAGTGAAAATCTTCCTTAGTTATCCTGAAATATTCATGATTGGAATGTGGATTTCGAAAAGTTGTGATAATATCTTAAAACTACAAGATTTCTCTTAGTTTTACCATATATGCGTCAAAAGACTATAGATGAAACTCTTCCCTTTTTTCTTCTTTTCTTTCTCCTTTAGGTTGAATGCAAAGAATTATTTTACAGAGATTTACTCGAATTGGATGACTCCCTTGCTGAAAGGCTTCTCCCTGGAGGCACCAGCCTGAAACAGGTAGCCAGTATGAAATTTTAAATATTCTCAATGAAGTGATGCTTTGAGAATTGTACTGTGTTCTACACTAAAAAGATATTTTCTGCTGTACGAATGTCCAGGTCAAGGAATCATTGTTGCAAAAATTCCTGGAAGTGGAGCAAACAGCTAGAGAGCAAGCAGCTGATAATGCCATTCTAGATCAGCTTTGCAAGGTGCTTTTAAGTTCTAAAATATTCATCTGGAAGATTACATTGATCTTTTGCAACCTTTAGTTGGTTTTCAACTCACTGAAACAGGGCTTTGCATGTATTATGTTATTGTCAACTTTTTCAATAAGCTGTGAATTTGAACTGTTTGGTATTTCCCATTTCTTTGGATGATATGATGAGTCAATTATGTGCTTTACTGGTGCTAATGGTGGCAGCCGTGGAATTTGCCATTGGTTTAGCCATTTTCATTATTACTTTCCGAGTCGGAGGAACTATTTCTGTAGAATTTATTAATAGCAGTCGAAGTTAAACATGTCCCCTAGATTTCATCTATGCGCACACATGCGTGCGCCCATGTTGCTGCATGACCATTTCAAGGAAGTTTTGTGGATTTGTGCTGGTCAACATGTTTGCATGAATTCCGGAAGTCCCATGATTGGACATTATACCATTCCACTTCTTGACGTGTTTAATTCCTATTGGTGGAAACCTTGATTATTGTAAGATGAATGTTCATTTAAAATATGTATATTTCAAACTAAGAACTGTGTTCCTATCGCTTAGTATTATATTATTTAGCCCACAAAGGAGATGCATATATAAGGCTTATTCACAGTTAAGCATTTTAAGTGTCAGACCTGTTGACATGTAAACATATCAAGTGTCCTGTTAAACGGGAACTTCAACCTTCATAATAATTGTGTCTTGTTGTTTGTAGATGGTAGAGGTTGACATTCCTCAGTCCTTTTTTGAGGAGCAAGGTAGGGAGCTTTATGGAGCCAGACTTTTGGAGATACAGGTCAGTAGGATTTACTTTTATTGCATGTGTGTGTGTTTTGTGAGCATGAATGTGCCTGCATTTTGCAGTTAACATCTTTTATCTTTTGGTTGTCGTGGTTGTGCAGGCAAATATAAAATTAAATGAACAGCAATTGGCTTCTCTGTCAAGTAAGAAGGCTGTAGATGAGTATCTTCTAAACCAGAAGGAGAACATTACACATATGATAAAACAGAGTCTGGCTGTTGGAGACATATATAAACGTGAAAATTTGCAGGTGTTTAACTTTTTATTAACATATTATTTGCCCATAAGTATTTTTCTGTTGGTCGTGTTGTTTGTATTGTCTTTCTGCTTGGTAGAATGGGCTTCACAAAAAATAACTGGTGTACTACACAACATATTTTAACTGAAAAACTATTTATTGCTTGGTCACATTAATATGTAGTCTGTTTGTTTTTGCAGCTTTCAACAGAGGAGCTTGTCAAAGAAGTTGAAAATTCCATTGCTGAATTCAAACGTCAAAAACAAGATTATGATGAAGAACGTGTTAGGGGACAGGTCAGAATATGCCCCCCTGTTAGCAAAGCAGACTGCAATTGCTTTTAGTTTCAATTGCCTTCACAATGAGCTTTCTGTAATCTTGATTACTTGAGCTGCCTGAATATACATAAAAATAAAACTATTATTTTTTTTGAAGTTGTTAAAATTTTTTTTTTCAAACCAAACTCTTCTTTCTCCCTTCACTTCTATCATCTCTTTTCTCACATTTCTATCCATTTTATTTTTCTATCTTTATTAATAAATAAATAAAAAAACAAGGAAGTTGCCAAACTGACCCAAAATGTTCTTCAATGTTTTCTTCTTTTTACATCTTTGAGTTTTCCTCCCTTGCTTTGACTCGGAGCAGTTCCATTATCTGGTACCCATTTCTAAATTTCTTTTATGGCATATAGGTAACAGAGTTGTTGATACACATATAATTTCTCTTGCAAAATTTTGCAGGTTCAAGAAATTTTAGAGGGAGCAAAGGTGCTTGAATGGTTGAGAGAGCATGCAGAGATTCAGTATGTAACTAGATGACAGAGAGGATAATAAGGCATGTATCCTTTTGTGCTTATGAGTAAGTTCCAAAGGTTCAGACGATGTTGATGGAGGCTAGTCGTGTTTTGAGGGAGGTTTCCTATGACGATGCCCTGCCACATTCTAGCTGACATACCTTGAGTATGCGCCTAAAAATGACCCTGCTTAATTTGTTGGGTTTAGGGCCTTTAGAGTTCAATTCTTGTATTTCGATATGAAGAATTTTCTATGTAAATCCAGTCTTAATCAATACAATATCTGGTTTTAAAGGAAACTTCTTTCATGTAGAGAAGCAGCATTTCCAATTTTATTATTCCTAGTAATATGTGCACTAGATAACATCACATTACTGTCAAAAACATATACCAGGAAGAATTTTGACACAAATAGGACTTAATGATGGCATGTAAGCAACTGACCCCATCAAATTAAGCAATACCTTAAAGCATGCCTAAAAATGACCCTGCTTAATTTGTTGGTTTAGGGCCCCTCAGTTTGCAAATACATGGAAATCAGATTATGCCCAATATTCTAAGTTAAACGACAAGATTTCTCTTAGTTTTACTATATATGCGTCAAAAGACTAAATATGAAACTCTTCCCTTTTTTCTTCTTTTCTTTCTCCTTTAGGTTGAATGTAAAGAATTATTTTACAGAGATTTACCCAAATTGGATGACTCCCTTGCTGAAAGCCTTCTCCCTGAAGGCACCAGCCTGAAACAGGTGGCCAGTATGAAATTTTCAGGGTTTAGGGTTTGAACAGTGGATTGGAACTGTGGTATTTCCCATTTCTAAGGATGATATGAAGTTTTGCTGATTTGTGCTGGTCAACATGTTTGTCAATTTCTGATTACCAATATTAAGTGCTCTTTTATCCGGCAAGACTGTCTTTCATTTGGCATAATAGTTTTGTATACAAGCACCGCGAGTCGGCTTATGCCACCCTGTTAAGCAAAGCAGATTGCAATTGCTTATAGTTTCAGTTGCCTTCACAATGAGCTTTCTGTAATTTCAGTGTAGCTTTAGGAGAGAGATGCAAGAAATAGAGAAAAGGAAATGCATTAAAGTAAAACTAAAATCTATTTGAAATTGTTTAGTTTTCTTTTTACAAGCCCAAGTAATTTATGTTCTTTCTCCCCAAGAGCATCCACAATGATAGTCCCTGTCTCCCTGACTTCTAGCATCTCTGCTCACATTTCTATCCATTTTCTTTGTCTATCTTCATTCAAATAAACTAAAATAAGACAAGAAAGTTGCCAAACAGACCCCAACATGTTCTTCAATGCTTTTTCTTTCCATCTTTGACCCTTTTTCCCCTTACTTTTACTAGGACCAGTTTCCTTATCTGGTTTTCTAAATTACTGATATGACATAATAGGTAGCAGAGTTACTGAAAATTAATAACTTCTGTTCCAAAATTGTGCAGGTTTAAGAAATTTTAGATTTGTTGACGCCAAAAAGTGGTTCAGGACTTTGAGGGTCAACTTAGAGATGAGGTATGTGGATGATGGGTGAAGGTGAGGACCAACACCAAGTATGTGAAGATTTGGCAAGCGATAAATATACAGAAGACAAGATATACGTGGTTCACCCTTAATGAATGGGTTACGTCCACGGAGAAGTATATTCTCATTATTATAACAATGTGCATTTACATTTGTACAAGAGGCTGGGCCCAAATATAAAGAGACTAAAGATCAAGCCCAACCAAGGGGGGATCCCTTCCTAGGTGGAGAGTGGTCTCCTTTTATAGGTGAGAGGGAGTCTTCACTTCTTGCAATATTTCAATGTGGGACTCTTGGCCTTGCTTAGAATTGCTTCTAGTTGCTTGGTCGAATATGGTATAAACAAGATTGAGCAAAGGTGCTTGAATGGTTGAGAGAGAATGCAGAGATTCAGTACATAACCAGATGGCGGAGAGAAGAAAGCATGCCTGCATTGTGCGCGTATGCAGGTTCAAAAGTTTTAGACGATGTTGCTGGAGGCTAGTCATGTTCTAGCTGACACGGTTTGAAGTATGTGTATCATCATCACCTTGGTTTTTTGGGTTTAGGGCCTTTAGATGGAGAAGTACGAGTGTTTGATAAATGAGTTCAATGCTATGTTTTAGAATGAAGAATTTTGTTTGTAAATCCAGTCCTAATCAATACAGTATCGGTTTGCCAGTTCGTTTTTCTTAGAAACTTGAATATGATATCTGTTAGTTCTAGGAAATATTTCAAACACAAGCTACTGGAAAAGCATCCATTGTGGAATGATGAATGAATAGAAATATATTCTTCCCCTTACTTATTTTCCATCTCATTTAACACGTAGGGCAGTTTTCTAATAACTTATGAATGAAGGTATAAATTAGTCGAGGGTTAAATACTTTTTTGCATGTATAGCCGCGCGGCTGTACTATTTAAATATAATAATTACATGGTATGGCCGCGCGGCTGTACTAAACATAAAAAAAAAACCAAGTATAGCCGCGCGGCTATACTATTTATTAAATTTTTGTGGTTGAAAAGAACAGGACCTCAAAGTTATCTGATCATTCATGTCCAAGACTAGCCACTAGCTATTTAATATACTCACAATTGAATTTGCTCTAGTCAATGACTAGAAGTATGAAGTCTCCACTTTTATATTTCGTTAGTTGTTGAATTGAAATAAATAGTTAGAAAGGAAAATCAAATTTAAGTAGAGAACCGGTACACTACCTTGACCAACTAATCTGGCCCATATCTACAAACACAAAAATATGGTTGAACCTTTCAATTAATCACCTAATCATGCAACTGAGGAAGATTTAACCATACGATCCTTGATCCTTGGGAAGCACCACGTTGGGATCACGAACATGTATGCGTTATTTATCCAATTGGTGCAGATATTGAACCGGTGCGTCACATTGAAATTGTGATCCATTTGTTTCATTCTTGGAAACTTATGCTGCACTACACCACAACCACAAGAAACTCCTCCAGGTTTTTTGGTTTTTGGTGGATCCAAATCCTCCTTTTCTCTTGAAAGTCCTCAAAACATGTAAAATATTATAATGGATTTTTAGTTTGATCTGTAAACTGATGGAATGAAAGAGATTTTTTAAAAGATGACTTTACATTTGAAATCAAGATTGTCAAGAAAATGAGAGGGACTAAAATTGTTTTCAATCATTGCTACTTTGAGTTACGTTACACTGCATAGAACTTGCTCCCATTCAGTTCAATACGTTACCAACTTAACATGGAATTATTTTGGATGCAAAGATAAATGCTCTTAACTACTTGAGCTACAAGTCCCTTTCATTAAACTCAAATTATTTCACACAAATCTTCAGCAAATCACATGACCTTTTTTTTATATTATTATTTTATACAATCGATGTTTTATTTTAATCTTTCCTTATTTAAAGAAGAGCACAAAATAGGGTTCGCGGATGCTAGAGTTGAAGGAGAGTCAAAGAGCCGCTACCATTGTCAAGTTCTCGAGCATCATCACAATCCGTAAGTTTTATTTTATGTTTTATAGTTTTTCAATTATGTTTTCTCCGTACAACACGCTACCATGCTATGGTATTTACATGTGTGGTGTGGGTTGGTGTTTGAGGACTTGCTGGAGCAGGGTGGTTTGGGTGAGATTGAGAAGAAGAACGAAGAGGAAGGCTGATCTTTTGTACAATGCCATTGATGAGAGCAAAGGATTTTACAGGTGCCCAGTTGAGAAGTCTGTGAGGTGATTGATGAATGTGCCCTTCACGCTTGAGAAGTCAGAGTTGGAAGCTGAGTTTGTGAAGGAGGCAGCTAAGGAAAAGATGTTTCAGCTCAAGGGGCATAGGTCAGTGGGAGGGATGAGGGCTTCTATTTATAATGCTATGCCTCTATGCCTCTGGCTGGGGTTGAGAAGTTGGTTGCTTTCATGAAGGATTTTCAGGCAGAGCATGCTTAAGATTTATTAGCATACATTACTGGTAGAGTTGTTAGCATCTTTGGTTTGTTGTGTGTGCTATATTTTTGTTGTTGAATGTGAGTGGACAACAGCAAGAAGCTTCTTGATACCTGTTGGCTATGCCGCCGATTCTCACTCCAGCTCCTCAATTTCCTCCTGAGTTGAAACAAAAAACATGTATCAGAACTGACCTAAAGAATAGTAGTAATCAAGATGAGGGATTACATAGAAAAACAGAGACAAAAACATAGAAAAACAGAGAAAGAAGCGAGAGAAAAAAATCACCATAAGCCCATTTCGGCCCGGCCCGGCCCCGTGCCCCTTAGAAAGCCCAGCCCATTGATGAGCCCTAACCTATTCTATTACCTCATCTATAAAAGGACGTCACATCTCTAACTCTAAATCTTTTCACGTTTTCTTCTCTTTGGCGCCGCACTCTTCCATTCTTGCACTCTCGCATTCCGCAATCTCCGCTTCTCGACTTGGCTTTCTTGCAATCTCTACCCTTCCGCATTCATCTCATGCTCGATTTCCCCCGTTCAGTTCTTTCTCAGCGAAATAGACATCTCTAGACTAGTTCTGTCCGACTCTCAAACAGTTACAGCTTTCCTCTTCTTCTCTGTCACTGTCAGTTGTGAGAGCCTTGAACTTCAAATCCATCCAAGCTTTTGAATTTTCTCTGAAGAAACAGCAGCAAGATCTGCATATTTACTATGCATGACAAGACCTATGAAATTAAACACTGCCGGCCCTCTTTCCTTTGAGAATAATTAACCACCGCCGGCTCTCTTTCCTCGTATTTTGAGAAGTATATATTTGAAGTTCTGTTAACCGGAAGAGATGGTTGAGCTGGATCAAGTCGGATCGACGCAGATCGAACAAAATCAAATGGAATTGGATCGCTACCCAGCGACGAAGCGGATTCCAGAGGAGTATAGTGAGATTGAATCTAAACCCTCTGACGATCGAATCGGATCGACGCAGATCGAACAAAATCAAAGGGTACAGGATCGATTGAGGCGGATTTTAGAGGATTTTAGAAGGATTCAATACACACCCTCCGACTATTTCAAGTGTTTTAAGCTTGAGCATAACCCATATGAATGGCAATTTGGAATCAGAGGCGCCAGTGGAACTGACTTCGAGGGTGGTATTTATCATGGGCGGATCCAGTTTCCAGAGGAGTACCCATCGAAGCCTCCTGAATTCTCGTTTTTTACGGAAAATGGTCGCTTCAAAACCCACAAGAAGATCAGGATAAGGGGACTGGATGGTTGGCAGCCATCATGGAGCGCGCGAGATGCTTTAGAGGTACTTATCGATGGAATGGACACTTACCCAGATGGTGAATTGGGTTCAGTAGAATACAATAAGGAAGAAAGGCGGGATCTTGCCATCAAATCTCGTGCAGCAGCCCCAAAATATGGCACTTCTGAACGTCAGAAGTTAATTGATGAGATTCATAAATGTCTGCTAAGCAAATCACCACATGTTCCTGTTACTCAACTTCCTCAACTGAGCCCCTCACAGGCCTCCAATGGCACAGGCGGCGGCATTGTCGTCACTGGGAATACATTTCATGCTACCAATTGCAAGAGTGTAGGAATTTTGCGGTCTATGAATGGGTTCTCCGACGAAGGCCACAAGCCCAATAAGGTAAAACTTTGTTGGCCAACACTTTTTGGGGGAAGAAAGCAAAACTAGACGTCTGCGAACACGACCAAGATGTAATCACAGGATTTAGCCCACAAAGGAGATACATATATAAGGCTTATTCACAGTTAAGCATTTTAAGTGTCAGACCTGTTGACATGTAAACATATCAAGTGTCCTGTTAAATGGGAACTTCAAGCTTCATAATAATTGTGTCTTGTTGTTTGTAGATGGTAGAGGTTGACATTCCTCAGTCCTTTTTTGAGGAGCAAGGTAGGCAGCTTTATGGAGCCAGACTTTTGGAGATACAGGTCAGTAGGATTTACTTTTATTGCATGTGTGTGTGTTTTGTGAGCATGAATGTGCCTGCATTTTGCAGTTTAACATCTTTTATCTTTTGGTTGTCATGGTTGTGCAGGCAAATATAAAATTAAATGAACAGCAATTGGCTTCTCTGTCAAGTAAGGAGGCCGTAGATGAGTATCTTCTAAACCAGAAGGAGAACATTACACATATGATAAAACAGAGTTTGGCTGTTGGAGACATATATAAACGTGAAAATTTGCAGGTGTTTAACTTTTTATTAACATATTATTTGCCCATAAGTATTTTTCTGTCGGTTGTGTTGTTTGTATTGTCTTTCTGCTTGGTAGAATGGTGTACTACACAACATATTTTAACTGAAAAACTATTTATTGCTTGGTCACATTAATATGTAGTCTGTGTTTGTTTTTGCAGCTTTCAACAGAGGAGCTTGTCAAAGAAGTTGAAAATTCCATTGCTGAATTCAAACGTCAAAAACAAGATTATGATGAAGAACGTGTTAGGGGACAGGTCAGAATATGCCACCCTGTTAGCAAAGCAGACTGCAATTGCTTTTAGTTTCAATTGCCTTCACAATGAGCTTTCTGTAATCTTGATTACTTGAGCTGCCTGAATATACATAAAAATAAAACTTTTTTTTTTTTTTGAAGTTGTTTAAATTTTTGTTTTCAAACCAAACTCTTCTTTCTCCCTTCACTTCTATCATCTCTTTTCTCACATTTCTATCCATTTTATTTTTCTATCTTTATTAATAAATAAACAAGGAAGTTGCCAAACTGACCCAAAATGTTCTTCAATGTTTTCTTCTTTTTACATCTTTGAGTTTTCCTCCCTTGCTTTTACTAGGGGCAGTTCCCTTATCTGGTACCCATTTCTAAATTTCTTATATTGCATATAGGTAACAGAGTTGTTGATACACATATAATTTCTCTTGCAAAATTTTGCAGGTTCAAGAAATTTTAGAGCGAGCAAAGGTGCTTGAATGGTTGAGAGAGCATGCAGAGATTCAGTATGTAACTAGATGACAGAGAGGATAAGGCATGTCTCTGTTTGTGCTTACGAGTAAGTTCCAAAGGTTCAGACGATGTTGATGGAGGCTAGTCATGTTTTGAGGGAGGTTTCCTATGACGATGCCCTGCCACATTCTAGCTGACATACCTTGAAGCATGCCTAAAAATGACCCTGCTTAATTTGTTGGTTTAGGGCCCCTCAGTTTGCAAATACATGGAAATCTGATTATGCCCAATATTCTAAGTTAAACGACAAGATTTCTATTAGTTTTACTATATATGCGTCAAAAGACTAAAGATGCAACTCTTCCCTTTTTTCTTCTTTTCTTTCTCCTTTAGGTTGAATGCAAAGAATTATTTTACAGAGATTTACCCAAATTGGATGACTCCCTTGCTGAAAGGCTTCTCCCTGAAGGCACCAGCCTGAAACAGGTGGCCAGTATGAAATTTTTAGGGTTTAGGGTTTGAACAGTGGATTTGAACTGTGGTATTTCCCATTTCTAAGGATGATATGAAGTTTTGCTGATTTGTGCTGGTCAACATGTTTGTCAATTTTACCAATATTAAGTGCTCTTTTATCCGGCAAGACTGTCTTTCATTTGGCATAATAGTTTGTATACAAGCACTGCGAGTCGGCTTATGCCACCCTGTTAAGCAAAGCAGATTGCAATTGCTTATAGTTTCAGTTGCCTTCACAATGAGCTTTCTGTAATTTCAGTGTAGCTTTAGGAGAGAGATGCAAGAAATAGAGAAAAGGAAATGCATTAAAGTAAAACTAAAATCTATTTGAAATTGTTTAGTTTTCTTTTTACAAGCCCAAGTAATTTATGTTCTTTCTCCCCAAGAGCATCCACAATGATAGTCCCTGTCTCCCTGACTTCTAGCATCTCTGCTCACATTTCTATCCATTTTCTTTGTCTATCTTCATTCAAATAAACTAAAATAAGACAAGAAAGTTGCCAAACAGACCCCAACATGTTCTTCAATGCTTTTTCTTTCCATCTTTGACCCTTTTTCCCCTTACTTTTACTAGGACCAGTTTTCATTATCCAGTCCTAATCAATACAATATCTGGTTTGCCAGTTCGTTTTACTTAGAAAGTTGAATATGATATCTGTTAGTTCTAGGAAATATTTCAAACACGAGCTACTGGAGAAGCATCCATTTTGGAATGATGAATGAATAGAAATATATTCTTCCCCTTGCTTATTTTCCATCTCATTTAACACGTAGGGAAGTTTTCTAATAACTTATGAATGAAGGTATAAATTAGTTAAGTGTTAAGTACTTTTTGCAAGTATAGTCGCGCGGCTGTACTCTTTAAATATATATTTTAAAAATATAGTCACGCGGCTATACTCTTTAAATATATACTATTTAAATACTCGAATATATTAAGATAGTATAGCCGCACGGCGGTACTATTTAAATATAATAATTACAGAGTATAGCCGCCCGGCGTTACCAAAAATTTTAAAAACCACGTATAGCCGCGCGGCTATACTATTTATTAAATGTTTTTTTTTAATTTTGAAAAGAACAGGACCTCAAAGTTATCTTGAAGTGCTGATCATTCATGTCCAAGACTAGCCACTAGCTATTTGATATACTCAAATTGAATTTGCTTTAGTGAATGACTAGAAGTATGAAGTCTCCACTTTTATATTTCAAATTTCATAAACGATAGTTGTTGAATTCAGATAAGTAGTCTAAACTACTCTAATTTTTAGAAAGGAAAATCAAATTTGAGTAAGGGAACCGGCGCACTACCTTGACCAACTAATCCGGCCCACATCTACAGACACAAAAACATGGTTGAACCTTTCAATTAATCACCTAATCATCCAACTGAGGAAGATTGAACCATACGATCCTTGATCCTTGGGAAGCACCACGTTGGGATCATGAACATGTATGCGTTATTTATCCAACTGGTGCAGATATTGAACCGGTGCGTCACATTGAAATTGTGATCCATTTGTTTCATTCTTGGAAACTTATGCTACACTACACTACAACCACGAGAAACTCCTCCAGGTTTTTTTGTTTTTGGTGGATCCAAATCCTCCTTTTCTCTTGAAAATCCTCAAAACATGTAAAATGTTATAATGGATTTTGAGTTTTATCGGTAAACTGATGGAATGAAAGAGATTTTTTAAAAGATGACTTTACATTTGAAATCAAGATTGTCAAGAAAATGAGAGGGATTCAAATTGTTTTCAATCATTGCTACTTTGAGTTACGTTACACTGCATAGAACTTGCTCCCATTCAGTTCAATACGTTACCAACTTAACATGGAATTATTTTGGATGCAAAGATAAATGCTCTTAACTACTTGAGCTACAAGTCCATTTCATTAAATTCTGCTTATTATTTCACACAAATCTTCTGCAAATCACATGACCTTTTTATTTTATTTTAATCTAATCTAAACTACGGGGAGAGGGATTTGAACTCGAGTGCAAAGTGGAGAGCACATCCGCTCAGCTCTAGCCAACTTGGCTAAGCCCATATTTGCCAAATCACATGACCTCTGGGTTTCAACAATGAATGTGTTGAGTTAGTGTTAAACACCAATAACTCGATTTTGACAGTAAAACATCTAATGGTTTTGTAATAATAATAATAAAAACTATAATAATATAGAATAGCAGTTTTATTCTTTCTTTCTTTTTAACCTGGATCTGAGAGGTTTTATTTATTTATTTATTTCGGGGTTGGGGGCGCAATATAATTCCTACCAATAAGGAAAGTATTGATGATCTCAACCTGTTAAAATTTGTGTGGGAAATTGCCAAGTTTGGTCTTTGATTTGATAGCCTCACAGAATATAGCGTAACGGTCAAGGCTTTAGGCATTGCTTGCTGGTTTACGGATGAACAAAGAGGGCAAAGTAGGTTCAGCTACTTCACCTTATATTATCCCAGAACCAGAAAAATCCTTATGACTCTAATGTATTAGGTTCAGCTAGAAATGATGTCATTTCATGAAAGGGAAGCCTCTATTGTCCTTACCAAATTCCGCTTCCTCCATTGACTCGCATACAACACATCAAGAATCCACTCTTCTTTGCACTCAGTGAAATTTAAGTCTCAACAAACTTCATCAACCTCCATTATCATTTGTATCAGCTTCTTCCATTTTCACTTCACTTTAAATCATTCTTACTAGCTTTGCCAACCATCCTGCTTCTGCATTTTTATATTCTGAACCAGTGGACTTGGAGAACTAAAGGAGAAAGGATGACCGTTAAGGCCATTCAACGGTTCCTCCTAACCTATCTCCTTCTGGAAATCTCTATGGTGTCTGCAAAAGTTCCGGCAATTATTGTGTTTGGAGACTCTACTGTGGATGCAGGGAACAACAACCATATATCAACAATCCTGAAGAGCGACTTTCAACCCTATGGTCGAGATTTCTTAGGAGGCCAGCCTACCGGGCGCTTTTCCAATGGCAGGGTTCCAACAGACTTCATTTCTGAAGCTTTTAAGATCAAGCCAACGATACCTGCATACTTGGATCCAACTTATACAATTAAGGATTTTGCTACTGGAGTTTGCTTTGCCTCTGCGGGAACTGGTTATGATAATGCCACTTCTGATGTGCTAGTAAGTCGCATTATGACTCAACCTAGTACACCTTATAAATGCCACTGACCTTCGTGCCAAACAGAATCTCTCCTTCCCCCTCAAGTACAAAGTGGAAGGATAAGGTCGTAGGTTCCATACCTGAATGAACAGTTAAAAGATAAAAAAAAATTATAATAACCTAGTTTAGACAGAGATCAGACACTATAGACTATAGTTGTTTCCAATAATTTTCAGAAGTTCCATTAATTTTTTAGTTTATATTATAATCAATATAATATACTAAACCCTGCTGTACTGGTCTTGCAGTCTGTAATACCTCTTTGGAAGGAATTGGAGTACTACAAGAAATACCAGAAGGACCTGAGAAGCTATCTAGGCAACGATAAAGCTAATGAGGTTCTGGGAGAAGCACTTTATCTGGTCAGTATAGGAACTAATGATTTCCTAGAAAATTACTATGTACTTAAACGCAGATCATCACAGTTTTCCATAGAGGAGTACCAAAATTTTCTAGCCGGAATTGCTGAAAATTTCATCACAGAGCTTTACCAGCTTGGAGCTCGAAAGATGTCTATAGCCGGCCTTCCCCCGATGGGTTGCCTGCCACTGGAGAGAACTACAAATATCTTTTCTGGGAGTGATTGTATTGAGGAGTACAATGATGCGGCTAGGATTTTCAATGTGAAGTTGCAGGGATTGATTGAAAAGCTCAGCAAGAAACTAGTTAGAATCCAACTTGTGCTTTCAAACACATATGATATTCTCTTAGAAATCATTCAAAACCCAGCTACTTTTGGTGAGTTTTACTTTATGTTTTCACTATAGTACCCGTTGTAATGTCACTTACAGTTTGTGTAGATGAAATCAAAAACAATGAGATAAATTTCCTATTTTGCAGGATTTGAAGATGCAGCAACAGCCTGTTGTGGCACAGGATTTTTTGAGATGAGTTACTTGTGTAATAAGATAACCCCATTCACATGCTCAGATGCAAATAAATATGTCTTTTGGGACTCCTTCCATCCCACAGAAAAAACAAATGCTATTATTGCAGATCATGTATTCAGAAATTCCCTAGCTCAATTTTTATGAGAAGTACACAGTATAGAATGAGGTCTGTAATTGTCATTCTAGTAGTCTTGCTTTTGGTACTATCCACTTTAACTTGCATCAAGATATTTGTCTTTCATTTTTCCGAATCTAAATTTATCACCCACTAAGGTGCCATACACCATGAAAAATAGTGAAAAAGTGAAGCAAAAACAACAATGAGGAGAGTCGAGAGGGGTTACCACAGTGGTTGTGGCCCTCCCCCTTCCCCCCTGCTTGGCACCCAGGATCGAAACCCCAGGGTTTCTTTCCTCCCAATGTAACCAAAAAAAAAAAAACATCAATGAAGAGTTTATTCATTCAGCACATGGGCGGATGATTTAAAGCAAAATCACATTACCTTTTGAAACTACCGCGAAGATCTTACAATATCATATTGAACAGCAAGTAAACGGGGTTGGACTTGAAAATAGAACATAACATAAAAACTGCTGACTGAGACTTCAATTACTCATGATATAGTTTCTTACAACATCAAGTACCTAGAGTTGTAGAAATGCTTCTCAGGAAAAAGATTACTATGGGGGGAAATATGCACCTCAACCTGAACTGAAAAATCACTTCTGCTCTTTGGGGAAATGGAGCTTGATCAGTGCAGGAAGCTCACATAACTCAACCTGAGGCTTTCCCAACAGAATACCCTTCAACTTTTCATCACATTTGACCACATTCTTGTTGTTTGGATCCTATGCAAGCACATATTTTTCTGATCAGTATTAAAATAGGTTCATATATGAAAGCATTGAAACTGAGTTGCACAGTTAGAATCAATAAAAGTAAGTGTGCAAGGTGAAAGATAATATATTCTCTCTCATTTGCTTCTTAAACTCGCAAGAAACATCAGCAACAAGAAGCCCAAGCACATTTATGCTAGAGCCCCTACCTTCTAAATTGACAGAGATGGCAAATAGTGGGTTGACAAGAATGGAACTTTATTGAGAAATAAATTTCACAAACAACCTGCATAAGCACAAAACCAGTTTTATATGACTGGTTCACAAACTAGGCTTCTCCTCTCAATGCAACAACACAGCGGAACTAACAATCTTGCTGACTCTGCTAATCGACTGCTAACAACCTTGCTGCGATTAGCGGACGGAGCTTATGTAAATTTAGGCTCCTAACAATTTCGATAATTAAACAAATACTAAGAAACTTATTCTTAGTTACAACCTAACAGAAAACATGAAGCACTATAACTAAGACAAAGTAACACAGAAAGATTAATACAGCACCATCTTCACTGAATACAACTGATTGTTCTTTAATTTAGAAGGACATACAGGTTGCTTATCTTAAGAAAAACAAATTTAAGGAACCTGTAAATTGTTGTCCTTGATGTATGACCAGACACGCATGAAGCATCCAAGATGAGAAATCTGAGACTGACCCACGAACTCCCGCAGCGTCGAAGGAAGATTTACGAGGTCAATCAAGTTGGCCAGCTTCTTTGGGTTATCTGTGATGGCCTTCTTCAACTTTGGTGGCAACATTGCTCTCACTCACTCCTGGATAAACTTTCTTTCTGAAATTCAGAAACCAGTGGCCCAGTAAAGTCAGAGAGTAAATTCATTCAGTAGCATAAACTTTTACAATAGTCATACACACAATTTGCCCACCACTTCCGGAACTCAGCTAAAAAAGTATTTATATTTTGCACTTAAACTGCACAATTAAATATCATTTCTCTTTTGTCTGCTTAACTAAGTTTGTGCAGTTACGTGCATGGTGTAAATTCTCCTCAATAGTTTGAATACCAGCTAAGCGTAAGCAAGTTTCAGAGGAATTTTATCGAACACCTGGTGTTCTATCAAGACCGACTCCCACATCCACAAGAACAAGCATCTAAAAGAAAAAAGAAAAAAGCGGATATAGATGACAGTGAATTCAGCTCAGATTTCGAATTGAAAAGAAAAGGTGATCATAGAGTTAATTATAAAAACGACGGCAGTGACTATTTTATGACATGTTTGTATAGAGAAATTGCAAGCTACTTTACCTAAAGAGGTGCAGTGCAGACAAAGGAGGTCTATTTTGCTATCTTTAAAATTCTGCTTCAAGGGCTGTACGCGTCCGAGGGATGCAAATGTTATAAACTATATGTAATGGATGCCCACCATGGATTAGTATACCTAATGTATGTCACATCGTATCCAACTATACCTACCATATGACTCACCCTCCCAATTACTCACTATATTATATTTGTAATAGTCTATTCTAGCTGCCTATAAATAGGCACTCAATGAAGATGAAAGATACGAGCTTAAGATGAGAAATTCCATAGTTACTCTCTTTCTTCAATTCTCTCTTAACTCTCTTAGTTTTATATTAGCAAATAATTTTTTTCTTTTTCTTTCTCTTATTATTCTTTAGGCTTTATGGGCAAGTAAGGCACGCAACTTTGGACAAAATAATTTACTTCCAATTGAAGGAGAAAATTCCGATGTCAAATGTTATTTTAATATTTTTAAACATTGAATTCCACTATTATTTACTATTTTTAAATTTTTATTCATTATATAAATTTCATTTGCATTTAAAAATATAATAAAATAATATGATATTTGATGTTTTAAATGGACTTAAATTTTTTACAAAGTGTCGAATTGCCACTTAAGTCAAATCCATATTTAAGGTGATCTAAAATTTGAAGTTTCAAGATTAACGCTCAAGGGCGATTATCATTTTTAAATTAAAATTAAAATTGCTCCATGAAGCTACAATTAGAAAATTTTATGGAAAATGAATTCAACTAAAGGACAAATCCTCAAGGACTAAACCTCTTAGTAATAAAAATATATATAATTTATTTCATTCACAGATAAGTTTTATTCTTTGGAACTTTAATAACAGGTACAAATGTTTTAGCCTGCACTTGGTCCCAAGTCTTCCCCCAACCAAAATGACATTACAAATACGGAGCCTGCCTGCAAAATCTTGTACAATCTAAACCACCGGGTAAACTCAAATATGAGTTGAAATCATATACTGCAGCAAATACTGAGATGCTCAAGAAGAGCAATGCTCCTTCGATGTATACACTTCAAAGCAACCGTAGTTCATGATACTTCTCAGAGCTGTTTTCACCCATTAGCCATATGGATTTCTGAAATTCTTCAAGAGTTCCGGAATATCATAACCCAGCATTTCATCGACGGCTTCTATCATTTTAGGCTTCAACTTCTCGAATTTGTCAATGTTGTAACCACTCAAGATGTTCCGGAAGTGGTCAACATCCGGGAAATCCCCTGGAGGTAGATGGAACTCCCTCTGAACCTGTATAGTAACTTAAGTGTGAGCATATAGAGTAGGGCCTGCACATACACAGGGGAGCGAGGGAATACTACCTTTCCAAATTCATCTTCCAAATTATCAATAAGCCTCTGTTGAGTCTTAGCTTTCCCCAACATAGCAGGCATCTCCTTCTTTAAATGGCTAATTATGTAAGCATGTATCTTGGCAGCTCGGGCACGCTTCACAAATTCATTGATCTGTGAAAATAATTGTCATCAAAATTCCGTTCAAAGGGAATCTGCAAGAATTATTCGGTTGCTAAAAAGAAATGAAAAATGGGGCTCAACCTAAGTTACAACTATAAAATTGCACCCCTAGAGTAAGCTTATTTAAAATTTGCAAATAAATTAACCTGAGTGCAACTTGATAAAGAAACATCATGCTAAGTAAATATAACAAACTCACCCTGCGATCACAAGCCTTCTTTGGAATATCCTTTAAATCAGCAAGAAGATCCTCCTGTTCCTTTTCAAAGAGTTCTTTCCCAACCGGACCAGTAGCAGCCTCATTCACAGGTTTGTCATTGAATGAGCTGCAAAAGATAAAATAGTTTGCAAGGACTCTGAACAAAGGAATTTGCTAGGAAACATCGGAATCTATTAGAAACCATAGGAATATTTCCATGGAATTAATGCCTGTAAGGATGGAGAGGCTACCCAATATAAACTCGCATGACCTCAGGAGTATTAAGAACCTTCCCAAGTGACCACATCAAAGCTCCATAAACCCTCATCAACTGCATACCATGAATAAAGAATGATTTGATCGCAACATCCAAAGACCTAATTAAATGCCTAAAAGAACATGTAGAAGGAAAATCGTCAATAGATCCATATCTTGCATATACTTACTTGTTGGGTGTCAATTTGATCTGCCTTGTTCAGGACAACACGAATTTTATCATCGTGACCATGTAAAGACGAAATCACACGCTTGAATTCATCACTAACATCAAGTTTGTGAGGATCAAACAAAAGTAGAATAAGGTCGCACTTTGCAGCAAACCATGAAGTTACCCCAGTAAAATCGTAGGCCCGTTGCGTCCGCTGCTTCTCTCCAGATAAAACGCCAGGAGTATCCACAAAAGTAACTTGTTCAGAACAACACGAATTTTATCGTCGTGACCATGTAAAGATGAAATAACGCGCTTGAATTCATCACTAACGTCAAGTTTGTGAGGATCAAACAAAAGTAGAATAAGGTCGCACTTTGCAGCAAACCACGAAGTTACCCCAGTAAAATCGTAGGCCCGTTGCGTCCGCTGCTTCTCTCCAGATAAAACGCCAGGAGTATCCACAAAAGTAATGTGTTCTAGCAGCTTGGATACAAAAAGGAGTAAGCTTTGGTGTTTCAAAGGAAAATTTGGAAAAATTCAAGGTGATTGTGAAAGATAACTCACAGAATGTGGCATTTGAGAGCACTCAAACTTTGACAAGAATGCTGTTCCAAAAGTTGTGAGACCACTGAATGGCATGTCAGCTTGAACGGCAATAGTATTCCCAGGAACACTTCTTCCATCAGGCCCTGACTACACGGAAGCAGAATTAACTAGTTAAACAATATTAATTTCAGAAACATTAACAGAAAAAGAAAAACAATATTAATGGAATTTGGAAAATTTGTATTCGCTACAAACGTGAGGAAACCAAATCTCAGGATCTTCTCTAAAACATCAATTTCTGTACTAGTGACAGCCAAAAAGCTACTAGTTTCGTTTCTTGAAATTCACATGTACAACTGCTAAGCCTCATATAAGCACTTTCAAGAAATGCAAGAAATTTGTTTTATTGAACTGGGGCCAGAAACACAAAATGTCCCTCAGCTTCTCTCTCCTTCAAATTCCTAGAACTAGGTAGAAAAAAACTCCTAGAACTCGGCTAATAATACGCTAGCACTGTATCCAGAGTCTTGACATACTGCCAAGCTGCTCAGCAATCTGCTTTCCATTTCTGAACTCGTGACTAGTATCACAGACAATTTCCGCCAATAGAAACCAGACCCAAAAACAGACTTTTTTCTCTTCTGAAAAATCAAAAATACCAGCCTTGATATGTAGGGCAAATTGCAAAATGCTATTTCCTAACAGTAAAACTTAACAATTTCACACTTAAAAATGAAGGTGTACAATCAGATACCAGAAAAGCAAGCATAATAAATCACTTTTTCTCACGCACACAGGGGAGGTACCAATAAATATTATCACTAAACTATCCATAACTAATAGAACACTCAGAAAGGTAATAAAATAGTAGTTTCTAACATTGCTACTGAGCCCCTATACAGCCTTATTATATATATGTCTTTTAAACTTAAAAGCAACCATATAAACATTTAGTTTAACTTTTAGTTGCTAAGTAATTCAAGACTGTTAATGACAACACGAAAGGAGATAAATTTGTAATTACCATAACAACAACAAATCTATCTGTTGTAGGCTCCGGACCAATGTGAGCTCCTGTCAAAAGGCAAATGAGATAAGAGATGAAAAATATCAAAAAACTTTCTATTCAAGACACAAACAATTATGAAAAGTTACACTTGCACAGAGGATAACTTGCCTGGATAACTACTTTTGAGCAAATGTTTAATGAATGTTGTTTTCCCAGTGGAGTATTGACCCAATAGCATAACCATGGGTTTGGCATCAAAATCACTATTTGTCTGAAAAAAACGCAAATAAACATCAATTGATAACTATAGCATGCCATAATTAGATAAAAGTTCAAGAGCATCCAAGAAAAAATTGAAATTAAACAGAGTGCCTGGGCATTAAATCTGATGAAAGAACTAGAAGAAACGCATACTGCTCACTCACCAGTAATGGGGATACAAAATCGTTAAACCGGTAAGTAACTTCTAAGGGCTTCAGCTTCTGAACATACAGTCTCTTCAACCCATCAATAATTGATGTTACAGAAGAAATTGGTACCTAAAATATGCCAAAAGAATTTTGTTAAGTTGTTAAACACAGTGCATAACCCATGTCTATCCAACAGTATAGCAAATTGCAATCTGCGTGCACAGGAAAATTTTGCATCAACTCTACAGTCAAAACATTACTCTCCAACCATGTTCTGCTTGTTCAAAATCGTCTGTTGTGAGCAGCATTCTCTTCATGTAAATTTATAATTTTATATCATACATAAAAAATAAAAATAAAAGCACTCCTAAAACTGAAATATGTAAGCTTCTCTCCTTTACTTTTTCACTAGTAACATAGCCTCTTCTAGCAGTTATTGTGAACATAAAGTCATAATTGACAAAAGCACTCCTAAAACTGAACTATGTAAGCTTCTCTCCTTTACTTTTTCACTAGTAACATAGCCTCTTCTAGCAGTTATTGTGAACATAAAGTCATAATTGACTCAAAACTTTCGCATGTCCATTGGAAAACTTATCCTGATAAAAACATAAGTATTTCTGCACTCAACAAGTATAATAACTCAGAGAGACTAAAATACCAAGTCAAAAAAGTACATGGAAGCAATAATATCATAAATTCCCCAGGCATTATGAAAAAGTAAACTTGATTTATCAAAATAAGACAATTCAAATTAGTGTACATAATAGAAAGAAGTTTAGGTGCAAAAACATTTACCATAACTGTGAAAATCCTTCTTTCTGAGTATCAAGAAAGCAAAACATTGATTGCTGCAAAAATAAGAAACAAATACCTTTTTTGATGATTTTGAAGAAAACCAAAGCGCTGAAGGTGATTGCTCCACCACCGCCGTACCTGCATGACTGCTTATTAGTAAATGCACAGCAAAACCAACAGTAGCAATACACATCTCATAGTTAGGTTGGGAAACTCCTCACCATTTACTTCGTTTTCATTCGTCTTGTGCAATTGCTTTCTCTTCTGAATAAATA